TTAGATCTAAAGTGCCTTTTTTATTTGAGGAAAATATTCATGGTTGCAAACAGTCAATAGCATGCATTTTTCACATAACAGTACAAGGGAAGAAAGCAAAACCACAGTCATATTAACTTAATCAACTAAACTCACATAATATTTGCCTGAACCACTCAAAGCTGAAGTAGAAATCTCAAATGATATTCAATGAATAGATTAATACATTGTGCTGAATTTACAAAGTATATATTGGAACAATCTGTCAATGAGATTTCAGTAAGAATTATGATACCAAAAGCCCTGATTAAAATCTTCCTAAAAATCTTCCTCATAGCAATAACTGAGGTTTTTGCTTAGAATGTTATTTTGCAGATAAAAAGACTCCTACAAATATTAGCTTGGAAGAAACAATCTCTTCAAAATTTGGTAGATTAAAGTGGTGTTAATAGTTTCACTGTCACTGTTCTAATTTCTATGGCTTAATATTTTGTTGTTGTTGTTGCTGTTGTTAAAAAATATACAGGCTGAAATGAGCATTAGAAAGGAAGTAACATTGTCTAAGATGGTGGACACAATAGCTCCTAGACTCACATAACTTCAGAGTTAGAAAATATTTCAACTGGGCCTCCCTGGTGGTGCAAGGGTTTAAGTCTCAATACTGTGAAACGATCAGCAGCCACTGCAGCACAAGTTCTATCCCAGCCAGGGAGCTACCCACATGGTGCAGCAGACCTCTCCTAACTCGCCCGCTGCCCCCCTCGGCAGTGTACTTTGGTCAATCTGCCTGTTCTGCTCCCCACTCTGTCTCTGGTGAATCCTCTCACCCCCTGCCCCCGCACATCTGGCCTACACCCTAGCTCTTGTATGCATAAAATAAGTAAAATAAATCTTTCCAAAAAGAAAAAGAAATAAAATACTTCAATAGCCAAATAATATATTTCTTCATTTGGCAAATAATCCAAGAAACACAGTGACTTGACACAGATATAGGATTAAAACCCATCCAAGGGCCTCCCCGGTGGCGCAGCGGTTGAGCTCTTGGTTGCAAAGCTGCCCGCAGCCTCTGCAGCACCGTTTTGATCCCTGGCCACCGGTCGAGGGTCCCACAGGTGCGCAGACCTCTCCTGCCACCTGCTGCTCCCCTCAGTAGTGTGCTTCGTCAGTCTGCCTGCTCTGCTCTCTACTCTGGCTCTGGTGAATTCTCTCACCCTCCTGTGCTTCTGACTGTACCCAGTGCTTGCATAAAAAAAAAAAAAAAGATAAAACTCATCCAAGCAGATCTTTGTTAGTTCTCAAAGTCTTCCCTGGTAGATAACCAAACTTGTTGGCACTGATATGTTCTACTCTTTGCCACTGAACAGAATTTCTAAAGGTGAATGGCACTGGCTGTGGCTGGCATTAGTGCCTCTTCCTTCCTCTACATATTGGGGTTGACACTATCTTTTCCAAGACACTTTGTAACTCTTCAGGGAAATGCAAAGTGGCATGTGCTTATTTATTTATTTATTTATTTATTTTCTCTGTAGTTCTTAGATAGGGGAATCCAATTTACCAGTTTTAAGAGCACGCACTTAAGTGTGTATCATACTGATCTTTGTATGAGATTAGCAAGCTTTTCTTCCCCTTTTCTCCAAGCTTTACTTTCTTTATCTAAAAAGGTGTAGTAATTGTTTTTGGCCATGAATATCAAGTCAAAACTAATAACATAACAAGAGTTTGACAAAATATCTGTCAAAAAACATTTTCCCTCATTAGTAGAGAATCAAATAGCATTGCCTCATCCCTATAATTCTCAATGGAAGAACGATATTTTTATAGCCTACACAATTGTTGGGGCAACCATGAAGGTGTTACCATGTACCAAATGTAAACTATTGTGAACACACCCTGTCAGAATCATTACCATATTGTTATTAAGTTCTCTTTCAGATTTATCTGAACACAGGCTTTCAAAGATTTGTGGGTTTGGCAATATGGCAACAATGAAGTTTCAAAGCCAGCATGCTGGAGATAGCCAGAACCCCTAAGTATCAGGAATGGGGTGAGATGGCTTTGCCCATCTCTTCAACATCTTTACTCACCCCGAATACTCGCTCTGTACCTGCCTTTATTGGCCTCTTATATACTTTTAAAGATCTTTTGATCAATGAATTATTGAATTAATGAATGAAGATAAGGAAGACGGAACAGATCTGCTCCTCTCTATGAGAGTTGTTTGGACACGATGTGGGATGAGTGGCTCTCCCCCTCAAGCACTCTCACGCGCAGTGTGCCTCTTTCACTGCTGTGCACACGTGACACAAAACACAATTAGCCTTTCAGGGGGGCTCTGCATTTTTCTGATCCTCTAACAACTGGGTGTCAGATATCTCAATGTATAACCACCCACTCACAACAAGATTATACATTAGACTCTTTGTTATCTAGTTTTATGAAAGATTTCTGAAAGCTAGAAGGAATAAATTAACTCTACCAAATCTGTGCTAAATCTTTCTCTTGCTGATTGTTAATAATCTTCCCATGATTGTACAGTTAATCAAGGAAGGGACCATTTACATTATCTTAAAAGGATGACACTAAAAAGTTAGATAGCATACTTGTTGGTGGAGATCATACATATATTTGCTTTAGCCTAAATAATGTGCCAGGATTTAATAGCAAGCTGCAAATTAATTATTAGAATACATTTTTCCCAAATGTAATGAAAACATAAACCAGAAATGTGAAATCAAATATAATCTTTTTATTTATTTTTTTCAGAATTTAATGCTCTCACACTGAAGTTTTTTCCAAGTGGTATTTTAGTCTTAACATTCCTGTGCTGTGCATTGCAAAAATGCGTGAGTAAGTGAGGTCTTTTTCATCATTACCACTGCCACTGATAAGAGTGGATGGCACAAATAGATATTCAATGGATACATGTCTATTTTGAATAAAAGTCCATACATTGGAAACTGTAGAATATTGAGCTTGATGTAAAGTTTAAGTAAAAATAACAACTACACTGTGTGGTTGCTTCTTGTGCATTCTATCCTTGTAAAATCATAAGCATAGGATAAGTTGTTTTCATGATGGTTGTGAGGGTGAGCAGACACTTTAAATACATCGTCTACTTTTAAACCTTCAATTTCAAAACAATTTAATTTGACATAATTAATGTAGAAGACAGGGGATGTATCCTTTTGTATAGTATCTGACCAGTTGCCATTATACCACCATAATTTCTCAATATATTAATTCATTAGCTTCATAAGGTACTTCCTGGCTTTCCTCCTTGACTTCCTGCTATGGAGCCCTCTGCAACATGAATGAGAATATCTCTCTTCTCTGCTCAGAACATTTCAATTACTCCCTTTTTATCTTAGAATAACACCTAGAATTCTTGGGCCTCTCTGGTGGCTTAGAAGTTAAAGTCTCGGTGCTATTATTGCTGTGGCCTGAGTTGGATCCCCAGCCAAGGAGCTAACCCACATATGGTACAGCAGACCTCTCCTGTCTCTTCTGCTGCTCCCCTTAGCAGTGTATTCCAATAATTCCACCTGTTCTGCTCCCCACTCTGAGGGAACTCTGATGAACTCTCTCATCCCCCACACCTCTGATCTATACCCCAGCTCTTCAATCAAAACAACAAAACAAAACCTGGAGTCTCATCTGGGCCTGTGAAGCTCCCATGTCACCTACAACCTCTCCAATTCCACCCTCAGCTCAGTCAGTACTTCTCCCCTCCTTCACTCACTGTACCAGTCCCCTTGGTTCTTGAGAATGCCCAGTGCAATTACACCTCAGGGCATTTGCATTTTCTGTTCCCTCTGGCTTCCCTTCCCCTATTCCCATCTACAAGGCTGCCTCATCTCTAGTTCAGCTCTCTGCTCCTTTTCATGATCTCAGAGGTGGTAACTCGCCTTCCAGTGTCAAATAGCTCTACTCTATCTATCTGTCTTGTTATAGTTTTCATCCTTGTACTGTGCCACTAGAGTAGATATCTATTTGTCCATTTGCTTTCCCTTCACTATACTGTAAGCTCTGAGAAAACAGATTGTTTTTTTCCACTACTGAGTTCTTAGTGACTTGAACAGTGACTGACACGTGCACTACAGTGATCAAGTAGGTGTGTCTTAAATAAATGACTCAATTGCCTGCCTTTGTTTATTTAAAAAAAATGGTATGTGCATTAAGAATAAATTACTTTGGACTTTCTTAGTTCTTTATAGAGTGAAAACAGCCCCCAACATGTTCTGCCTAATTCTGGCTAACTTGAGACATTATTTTGAAACTATTTTGCAAAAATGTCCACCAGTGCTTATTACTGTTATAGAATTGCCTAAGAAAAAAGTGGTGTTTAAGTTTATTATGCTAATATAACCCAGGAAATGCTGATCTGTTTAGAACCACAGTTTCAACACACATTGGCCATCTAAATTTTGTAAAAAATTTTAGTGAACTCACAGAGGTTATTAACAAAATAAACAAACAAAAACCCTTGAAACAAATCATGAAATCCTGTTTGTTATGTTCCTGTTGCTATGTAACAGGCTCTGGAATCAGTTCTTGACATGTACAAAGTTATTTAACATCACCTCAGAAGAACCCTCTGAGAAAATATTATTGTGCTATTTATTATGGGCTGGATTGTGCCTGCTTCAAAATTCACATGTTGAAGTCTTAAGCTCAATTCTTTTTAAGATGTGACTGCATTTAGAGATGTGGACTTTAAAGAGGTAATTAAGGTGAAATGATGTCTATACATGGACCTTAATCCAATATGACTGGTTTCCTTAAAGGGAGAGATTAGGACCAAAGGACAACATATAGACCAAGGATTCTCTAGAGAAAGAGAATCAATAGTGTGTATGTGTTTGTGTGTGTCTGGAGAGATGTGGGGAGGTAGTAGAGGGGGTTGGGGCAGCAGGAGACAGCAGCAGAGTGATTAGTTTAAGGAATTGGTTCATGATTATGGAGACTTGTAAGTCCAGACTTTGAAGGATGGGCCAGTAGGCTGGAGAACTGCTGTTACTGACCTGAGGCTGATGTTACAGTTCAAGTCCAAAGGTCTTCAGGCTGGAGATGAAGGAGGAGACAGCTGAAGTTGCAGGTGAAGTCCAAAGGCAGTCTCCCTCTTGCTAAAGGGAGCTCAGTCTTTTGTTCTCTTGAGGTCTCCATCATGAATGGCAATCTGCTTTTCTCAAAGGCAACTGATATAAATGTAAATCTCATTCCAAAATACTCTCATCACAGAAAATATCCAGGATACTTGGGCACTGTGGCTCAACCAGGTCGACTCAAAATTAACCATGATAAGTCCACCCTTTGTCCAGTTGGCATCCACAAGCATACTAATCTCAAATAAAGAAATGAGTAGGTTATACTTCTGTCTCGCATAATGCAACTATCTGTGTTGTATCTCTTGTGGTGCAAGAAGAGGAAGAAAAGTCCTTAAATAATGCTTACTCTTCTCCTTGATATACTATGAGTTAAATACTCATATAAAATTAATACTCAAATACTATATAAACAATCATTACACTTTATATTACATGATAAGAATATTAAAAAGGGAAGAAAACAAAGATATTTGTCATATACACACATACACACATGACAAAAGCAGTTTTTGTAACTATTCACATGGATGTGGTTGAAGCTGGTATTTATAACTACCTTCTTCCACTAAACATTTCATACTCCCTTTGTCTTTAGCAAGCACCTCAGCTCTTTGTGGTTCTTTACCTCGCCTGGATCGAGTTGACCTAGTTTTCCATTGACCTTTACGGCAGGGTATGGCGATTCTAAAATGCCCCAGGAGAGCTCCTGTATTCCTACCTGCATTGAGGAGCGGCCATCCAATTCTCCTTGGTACTCAGGATCAATCACCACTGCCAACATAGTAACTCCTTTGTCTGTTGAGCCAAGAGTGGTTAGGCGGCAGGTTCCGCTTCCAATTCAGTGGAATTATTGTGTATTCCCTAGTGGGAACATTCTTCCCTTTGGAACTGAGACCTCTAGGCAGCAAAGCATGAAGTGGTGGACACATGAAGCAAATATGTTTCCAATGGATCATGAAGGGTAATAATAAATGATACTACCTCCATTCCCACCAGTTGTTTCTTGGGTCTGTGAATTCCTGGGTAAAAGAGCACCCTGGCTGACTCACTGATTCAGATGCAGCCTCCTGGGAACTTTTCCCAGCCTTACAAGGTATGCAACCTACAAGACCCTGTAACTGTCATAAAAGGCCATTCATTTACTGTTCTTTCAAGCAGGCTGCCTCATGATGGTGAGAAACAGTGGACCATGTGAGGACACAGCCAAAATGCAGCCATTTGCAAGTCAAGGAGGGAAGCCCCAGAAGAAACCAAACACATTGTCTCCTTGATCTTAAAAGCTTCTAGCTTCCAGAATTATGAGAAAATAAATTTCTCATATAAATTTACCCAGTTTAAAGTATTTTGTTTTAGCAACTATAATAAACTAGTATGCTATCGTACACTATTTCTATAGAAGTGATAAAAATAAAATACCTCTGAGGCTCAGAGATGTTTGTAAGTTTGCCCCAGGGGACACAGATAACAAATGATGATTCAAATCCAGATTTTAACTTCAGTAACCTTGCTGTTAGTCACTCTTGAAGAGAGATTGGTTCTCTCACCTGAGTAATAACCACACATCAACTACTGCTGAGGTTTTTACTGTGTTCAGCACACCAGGTGGTCAAAGATTAATAACTGGTGAAAAATTCGTTGATCAGACTCTTTAGGAAGTGTCAAATAAATTAATATCTAGGGTGTACCAGGTCTTGAGGGAAATAATTGCTCTAAATTTAAGAAGCAAAAAGAACATGGGAACTTTCTTGAGTGACATTAATGTGTAAGAACATTTTTTGAGAAATTCTTTATGAGAATATTTTCGAAACTTCCAGTGACTAATTCATGCAAGCTGAAACTGCACGTGAAACTTAGGTTCAGCTCCTGAACAACAAAGTAAAAAGCAGGCCCAGAAGTGCAGATACACCTGACCAGAGCAGGTGGTTAGCAGGCTGCTCAGCTGATGTCTGGGCAACTTTGTACATTTGTCTCCTCTGAGGAAGGTTCTATTTAGATTTGGCAAATGCTTCCTTGGGAAACTCTTTGTTTCAATAAAGTTTGAGCCTGTAATATACTCAAAACAGACAGAGAGCTGTCAAAAAAAAAAAAAGAGAGAAGCATCTTCATTCAATTCAGAATGTAAAATGTAAAAAAATGAGTGGGAAGGAGAAAAAAAAATGCGGCATTATTTTTTCCTAAATTATCATGTTCTCTATATATTGTTTATAGAGCAATCAAATTTATAATGCTATAAATATGTTTTCCAGATACTGGAGACCTTTAATGAATTTATTATTGAATTTATCCCTCTTTGTCTCTTTTTTTTGTAGATCAAGATAAGTTAACATTGAAAAATGCTTTAAATTATAAAAAATTAAAAATTTTAATTTCTTTATAAAATCTTTAATTTTCATAATGATTTTAATTTTTTATTAAAAAAATCAAGTTTCTTATTTATTGTCAAACTAGCTGTTCCCTCAATCTTAAGAATTTTTCTGAGGCGATGAGTATTTTGACTGAACTTGTGCTGATGAACAAGAATCAAAGGTACAGGACAGACTGCTCCAGAGAACTGCAGAGAAGCAGTCAGTCACTTACTTAACTGAGGAAGGCCGCATTCAATGCTTGTATGCAAATTGCAGTAAAGTTAGCAAGACACTGTGTATTAGGAATGAAACTATCGAAAAGAATTAGAATTATTCCACTAAGGAGATGACAGTGAGGAAAAAGGAGATAAACTACTATAATTCTGCTGGTTTTCAAATAACTGAAACCAGAACCCACTACACAATCTGGGGGATGGGCACAAATAAAAATGTGAGGTTCCTTGTTCAAAAGTTCTTAAGACTTCCAAGATAGAGATAACAGAGCATTAAGCCCAGTACTGGGCCCTTCATACACTTCACAGTACTCCCAGGTCACACATAGTGAAGCTGGTCCTGACTGAGGCCCTGGCTCACAATTTCTTTGTAAGCTCAATTTATCTCCATAGTCTCTTACAATTTTTAGGATTCAATGTTATGACTATATAATCATAGATAAAAGATGATCATGTTCACTTACAGCAGAATTTTGTGAATTCTTTCTTTATTTTGCATAGAAGTGGGGTGTAGGCCAGAAGTGCAGGGAGTGAGAGGATTCACCAGACACAGAGTGGGGAGCAGAACAGGCAGATGTACTGAAATACACTGTTGAAGGGAGCAGTGGGCGAGACAGGAGAGATCTGCTGTGCTATGTGGGTAGCTCCCTGGCCGGGGATGGGGATCAAATGCAGGCCTGAACGGTAACAGCACTGAGACCTAACCCTTAGGCCACCAAGAAGGCCCCTCAACTCTTTTTTCTAAAAGGAGTTATCAAAAAATCTAGTATTTGTAGCCTTATCTTAAAGGCCCCAAACACTGAGCTCCTAAATGGAATTTGTCACGAATTTTATCACATACTTCTAAAAGAACACTCAACTAATCTCACTTGTTAGAAAGGATCATCTTAAGACCTGCAGAGGAAAAAAAAGAAAGAAAGAAAATGCAGCTAGTACTTATTTTCTATCTTAAAGTTTAGAAGTGGATAATTACAATTCTTCAGCTTACATTTTCCATTTTAGAATGTTAAAGTTCACTGAAGGATGCAAATTATGCCATCAAATCATCTTGAGCACTTTAGGTTTTTGTTATATAGTAATTTTTCTTAAATCTCCCTCTAAAATAATACTGATTTTAACACAATTCTCCCTCTCTTGAAATGTTAGAATCTGAATTCCATAGGGTGGGATGTACTCAATGTGACAGAAATATGTAGGCACATGAAACACCAATAAAAGGAACATGTGTCAGAAAGAAAGGAAATAAACACGTAAAGTAGGAGAAACCAGGTGAATTACTGTGACGTTGTCCATATTTTATGAGAAAAAAAATTCAGAAAGCAAATTAAGTGACTACAATGATAAATTAAAACAGAAAAATAATGGAGAAAGACTATATGCCATTTTCAAGAGTAGCTCTGTTCACTGCAGTTAACTTTTGGGTTGTGAGAAATGGAATTTAATGTTGTCCACTTTAGGTTCTTACTTATTTCAGATAATAATGGTTATCTGCCACATATCTAGTCCTCCTTTTTTTTTGTCAGAAATAGAAATTTGGTTTTATTCTATGAAAGTTGTGTATACAAATAAATATTAGATTCTCCAGCCCCCTTGAAGCTAAATGTGGTATCTTACTGTCCATTGAGTTGTGATAAATTTAGGCCTTTAAGATGCAAGCAAAACTATTTATTATGGTTGGTATTGATTTCCTAATTGCCAAGTTTAGTAGTTTCATTTTCTATATGTTGGCTCTAAAGCAATTCACTTTATTTTATTTTGTTTTCTTTTGCTCCTGAAACTGTTCTTCCTTAGCTTTGAAAACAAAATTCTGGTTTCCCCCGCCCCCCAACATTTTAACACCTCTTTTCAAACTTCTACTGCCACTACTTTAATTATAATCTCAGTAATCTTTCTAATATGTGCTATAGTAACAAATGCTTAATTAATCTCCCAGGCTCAAATTAAAAGTTAGTTATTCGGTTTGTGTGCATAGAATCACATTTTCTCCAATGGCTTTGAGCTATCACAGTTTGAGACTCTGAGTATGAGGCAAAAACTAGAATAACTATTCCTGTGACTATATAATTCCCAGGATGATACAGACAGGCAGATTTCAGGAACAGCGGGGCATGATACAATAAATAAGTCTTTAAACTTAAGTACATGTGGTCAATTACCTTTCAACAAGGGGTGAAGAATTCACAATGGGGAGAGGGGAGTCTCTTCAATTAATGGTGTGGGCAAGCTGGATGCCGACATACAAAAGAGTGAAACTAGACCACTCTCTTATTTATACCCGTGCACAAAAACCAGTTCAAAAGGGATTAAAGACTTGAACTGAGACTGGAAACAGTAGAGATACTAAAAGTTCTAAGAGTAAACTTTTGGACACAGGTCTTGGCAATGATTTTTTCAATCTGATACCAAAAGCAAAGGCAATTAAAGCAAAATTAAACAAGTGAGATTATATCAAACTAATAAACTTCTGTGCTGCAAAGGAAACTGTCAGCAAAATGAAAAGGCAAACAATGGAATGGAAGAAAATATGTGTAAACTGCATATCTGATAAGGGGTTAATATCAAAATGATATAAGGAACTCCTACACCTAATTAGTAAAACAAACAACCTGACTTAAAAATAGGCAAAGGACCCAAATAATCATTTTGCCAAAGAAGACATAAAAAGGCTAACATATACATGGAAAGATACTCAATTTATAACAAGAAAATGCAAATCAAGACCACAATAAGATATCATTTCATACCTATTAGGATGGCCACTCCAAAAGACAAGAGTTAACAAAAGCTAAAGAAGATGTGGGGTAAAGGAAACGCTGATGGAATGTTAACTGGTACAGCCACAATGGAAAACAGTATGGACCTTCCTAAAAATATTACAAATAAAACTCCCATGTGATACAGCAATTTCACTTCTGGGTTTATAGCTGAAGAAAATAATTATATCTGAAGAGTTATTTGTTTCTCCATGCTCACTGTAGTATTATTTATAATATCCAAGACACAAAAACAATCTATGCATGTGCACCAACAGATGGATAAAGAAAATGTGACTGATGCGTGTGTATATATACACACGCACTCATACACTTGTATGTATCCATATATATGGTGTAGGAATGTGCATATTAAAAATGCTGTAATCTTGAAAATGGTGCAGTGTTCAGAATTTTGGATAAAACAAGATTATTTAACTTTTATTTAATGACCTCATCTCATCCATCTCTGTAAGACCATGAAAGTATGAGTTGGTCTAGTGACTGTGTCTCCTGAGAGTAAAGAGTATATTACAAAAGTGCTGAAGGTTGTGATGCTTTATTTTATCCAAATGACAAACTAGTAGCAAGACTGATCTATTTAGCTGTCTGTGTGCCCTCAC